TGCTCTAGTGAATCAATGTTGCGTGTCTTGATAGAATTCTATCGTTCAGCAAAATCGTTTGCTGGTGTTCGTTGGAATTTGACCGTTTTTGAGGTTATCTGACTGAGTTTCACTTAAAGCATTGATTCGATTTGAATTCATTGTAATGCAATCTGGTGGCATCTTTGCGTATCATTGTTACTGTAATATCTTTCAGTGCAGATTAGTCGGCTCTTCTTAAGATCAATTATTACATTATCACTTCGTACGGGGTCAAACGTCATGACTGTTCCTTTCAACTTATTGAAGGTGAAGAAATAATCAGAATAAAAATGATACACTGTATTATAAACCTCTTCAGAAGATTCATAAACACCTAACTGTTAGTATGAGACACCTAAAGATTTAGGCATATTATGGACTCTGCGACTTATAATGAATAAATTGATTTGTTGAGTTATGCGAACACGTTTTTTGCAGCACAGAATACTGCAACATCAACACATCGACCACCATACAGATATCCGCTTGCCAGATACCTCAGAACTCTCGACGAATCCCGACGTCGTCATCATCATCTCAGAATGTCGACAGTCTCGAAAAGTTATCATACTAAAGACCCTATCATAACATATATTTCGAATGTTCGTTAGTTGACCTAATTCGATTTTTATGATTCACACTGTAACACCGATGGATGCTATCGATGAATCTTTGAAATTCCACTTGATTAGCTTAATGAATCGCTGTTCGAAAACTTTCTCGAACTGGATTCCAGGTGCGTTCAGCTTTGATATTGGCCGACTTTGGATCGAGATAAAATTTTAGAACAAACCAAAATGGCGACTAAAGATGAACGGCTTAATTTTCACTAACTGTTTCGCAGACAGCCCTCTTGGATTGTTAATTGTTGTCGTTTGAAGGTTTCACTGAGACTAGATCCACTTCAAGTCGAATTACAACAAAACACAATCGAACATGCGCCTATGTCCGGAATGTTGGGTGCACCCGAAGTGCTACAATTCGGCCGGAATCTCATTCACCTCACACAAGCGAAACGCGTTCTTGATATAGGTAAGCTCACTGATCCCATTCGGTTGGGAGTTCTGGTTGAAGTAAGGAGGATTCTTTCAGTCTGAACATCTTCAATTTATTTATTCAGCTGAGTGATAATTTTGAAACTTGTATGATAAAATGTTGCATACTTTGGTAT